GACACAGCTGTCGTCAGAGTTGGGTCGAAGATTTGGTCTTAAAGTCGGGTTTAAAGAGTTACGACCCGAGCCGAAATTTTTAAATTGCGGGCTCAGGAAAAGAAAATTAAGTATAATTAGTTAATTTTTTCATCCTTTCTCCGACTGAGAATTAATGAGTTACAAGTGGTAGAATTAGAAACGCAAAATAATTGAGTCATTGCCACAAACTCTGATTGACAAATCCCTATCTATATCTTTGCAATCCAATCTTTTAGACCTGAAATAAGAAATTCAACATTTTCTTATTTAAACCATTATTTCTAAAAATATTCCAACATTCTAACATATTCTCAGATATCAGGAAATGATATTTTAGATTTTTTAATGAAATTTAAAATTCCATGAAGTTATTAGTTGATATTTCCAAAATATATACTTTAATATTTATAAATGAAAAATTGGTTGGTTTTATAAAAGTTTTCAATCACTATAATATTACTGTACCGCAGGAATGCGACTATACTTATTCCACATAGAAACAAAGACGACAAAATCCATTTGATATTGAAAGATAATTTAAAACCAATTTACGTCTAAAAGATGCAAAATGTTTACAATTATTCTAAAGTTTAAAGGGAGTGTTCGCAAAAAATTAATGGGGTATAGACTTGCGGCGAAAATTAAGTGGTATGTCGTTTTTAACAATTTTCTCCTGATAGACGCAACTGATAGATGTAAGATTTGTAGTGATCAAAAGCACTTATTTTTTGTCGTAAGCCTATACCCCCCTTGATTTTTAACGAACACTCCCTTTAAGAGCAGGTTTTAATACCTAATTTCACTTATTAAAATACATTGTGTGAGTTTTATCAAGTTTTCCAGTATTTTAGTTCCTTTATGGTTTAACAATATTGAGAGTTAGTTTTATCCATTCTCCAATAATTGTGAAATAGATATAGAAATCTATAAAAAATTTACTTAGAAATATATCTAGAAATATATTATATAAATTATGAAAGGGATAAAATAGAACCTGTTTTGAAATTATTATAGTAGAACCTATTATGAAAGGGATAAAATAGAACCTGTTTTGAAATTAATAAAGTAGAACCTATTATGAAAGGGATAAAGTAGGACATGTTATGAAAGAGATAAAGTAGGACCTGTTATGAAAGGGATGAAGTAGGACCTGTTATGAAAGTAATAAAGTTGGACCTGTTTTGAAAGGGATGAAGTAGGACCTGTTTTGAAAGGGATAAAGTAGAACCTGTTATGAAAGGGATAAAGTAGGACATGTTATGAAAGAGATAAAGTAGGACCTGTTATGAAAGGGATGAAGTAGGACCTGTTATGAAAGTAATAAAGTTGGACCTGTTTTGAAAGGGATGAAGTAGGACCTGTTTTGAAAGGGATAAAGTAGAACCTGTTATGAAAGGGATAAAGTAGAACCTGTTATGAAAGGGATAAGGTAGGACATGTTATGAAAGGGATAAAGTAGGACACGTTATGAAAGGGATGAAGTGGGACCTGTTATGAAAGGGATAAAGTAGAACCTGTTATAAAAGGGATAAGGTAGGACCTGTTATGAAAGTGATAAAATAGGACATGTTTTGAAAGGAATAAAGTAGGACCTGTTATGAAAGGGATGAAGTAGGACCTGTTATGAAAGAAATAAAGGGAAAGGAGATTCACGGTCAACGAAGCTTTCACTGCTATGACTGAATGAACAGTGGGTTTTAGTGGAGCGTGGCTTGTATTAAAGCATTAAAAGGGAGAGGGGGGAGGATATGAATGGTTTTTGGACAATCTAAATTCTTCCCCTTCACCTCTTTATTTAGAATAAACCTCTCACTTGTCTAAATAAGATTTAGAAAGAATTTCAACCATTACATTTTCTAAATATTTAATGCTTTGTATTTGTATTGAAAAATGGTACTTAGAGTTTATTGTACTTATTGTACTTTTGGGTCTATTTCCTGGTTTTATCTATAGTTCAACTTCCGGTTTTATCTATGGTTTAACTTCCGGTAATGACACTTTGAATGGATCCTACAATTTCAAACTGTTATCTTAATTTTATTCATCTATACTTGTCTCTTCTTTTCTATGGTTTCATCTATAAAACTAATATATCCGGTATATAATGAACTAAATACATAAAATATATCACACAGGTCTGCCGCTTTAGTATTTGTAAATTGGCGGTACAGTCAGGGGGCGGAAACGTCATGTGTGTGTGTCTTTACCAAAAGAGTTTGTGTAAGGTTACCGTACCAAAGGTGTGTACTGTAGGTTTATACAGTACGTATGAATCTCGGTATTTGTACAGTCTAGGAGAGTACATTTGTTTATTGTTAATTGTTTAATTAAAAATAATATATTATTTACATATTTAAGTCAACACTATAAAGCCAAATTTTCATGCAAAGAATATAACTTGATTAAAGTTTACAACATTGTTTTGCAACTTCCTTGATTGTAATCATGTTGAGTGTCTGTATCAAAAGAGTGTGTGTAAGGTTACCGTACTGGTCTGCAAAGCAGTGCGACTGAATTTCTCATGCCAGACCAGCCCCCATTTCCTTTCCCTTTATTCCTATTCCCTGGGTACAGTCCAAACCAGGACCTCACAGGTTGGCTCAGCTCGGATATTAAAATGTACACCGGTTGTGCATGATCTAGAAGTATCCAGATTTCGATTTTTCTACAAATATGCAAGGTTCTTATCCAATCAGGGTTCACTCACGTGCTTAATGAGTACTCAGGACCAATAGAATAGCAAGGGCGACAGAAGTACCTATGCAAAGACTAATGGAATTCTTTATTTATATCCAAACTAGAAGTCTAGTGTAATAGAACTTAAATTTGCTTTAGTAAGCGCAGTGTACTCACTGAACTCACTAGTAACTATAACCAAATAGATTATCAAGTACAATAGGTGGCAACAGAGAAATGGAATAATTATACACGACGTCACAAGTGTCAAATATAAAGATTATAACGAAATTTTCTCACATTAGTTGACAGGTTTTCCAAGATTCAATAATAAAGTGTATAAAAAGAGAATAAAGAACACATAAAATGACTCAAAGAAGTTCGTAGTAAGATTTCGATTCTACTGGAGACCACCGGAGGGATTTTATTTTCACTGGAGGGGTTTCAAAAATGGCTTTTAAAATTAAAACTTTACGCAGGTTGATTTACATTCCACTGGAGGGATTCAGATGTCCTTCCTGGGGGGTTATAATTCCACTGGAGGGATTCAGTTATCCTTCCTAGGGGTTTATAATTCCGCTGGGGAGTCAGATATCCTTCCTAGAGGTTTATAATTCCACTGGAGGGATTCAGATATCCTTCCTGGGGGTTTATTATTCCACTGGCGGGATTCAGTTATCCTTCCAAGGGGTTTCTAATTCCACTGGAGGGATTCTGATATTCTTCCTTGGGGTTTGTAATTCCACTGGAGGGATTCAGTTATCCTTCCAAGGGGTTTATAATTCCACTGGAGGGATTCAGATATCCTTCCCGGGGGGTTGTAGTTCCACTGGAGGGATTCAGTTATCCTTCCTGGGGGTTTATAATTCAACTGGAGGGATTCAGATATCCTTTCTATTGGTTTATAATTCCACTGGAGGGATTCAGATATCCTTTCTAGGGGTTTATAATTCCACTGGAGGGATTCAGAAATCTTTCTAGTGGGTTTATAATTCCACTGGAGGGATTGAGATATCCTTCCTATGGGTTTATAATTCCTTGATGGGATTCAGATATCCTTTCTAGGGGTTTATAAATCCACTGGAGGGATTGAGATTTCCTTCTTATGGGTATATAATTCCACTGGAAGGATTCAGATATCCTTTCTAGGGGTTTATAATTCCACTGGAGGGATATAGATATCTTCTTTCAGGGGGTTTATCATTCTTGTTAACCTTCCATACTTTTCATCCGTCTTTCCCTTTAGTTTATACTCATTTTTTCATCCTGTTCAGCCTGGATATCTGAATCCCTCCAGTGGAATTACAAACCCCCTGGAAGGATAACTGAATCCCTCCAGTGGAATTATAAACCCCTTGGAAGGATAACTGAATCCCTCCAGTGGAATTATAAACCCCTTGGAAGGATAACTGAATCCCTCCAGTGGAATTATAAACCCCCAGGAAGGATATCTGAATCCCTCCAGTGGAATTATATACCCCTTGGAAGGATAACTAAATCCCTCCAGTGGAATTATAAACCCCTAGGAAGGATAACTGAATCCCTCCAGTGGAGTTATAACCCCACAGGAAGGACATCTGAATCCCTCCAGTGGAATGCAAATCACCTTGCGTAAAGTTTTGAATTATAAAAAGCATTTTTTCAAACCCCTCCAGTGAAAAAGAATTCCCTCCGGTGGTGTCCAGTGGAGTCAAAATCTTACTACGAACTTCCGTGACTCCATATAATTGCACTTATTTTACTGTAAGAAAGGCACTTTATATTCTAATATTATCACTATTATTGATAACTTTGTCGTACACAAAAACTAAGTTGACACTTATGACGTGAGAATACAGCTGTACTGAGAGTGTACAAATTCTACGTTGCCATCTGTTGTACTAGAATCTATTTGACTTTAACGTTTTGTGCACAAAAAATAGGTTTGACTTAATCTAATATTTTTGAAGCGTGTAGCTTCGTGTCTGATGTGTTTGTCTGTTTTCCCTTGAATTAGCATGAAATCTAGAGAGTATAAAGTTTAAACCCCTAGAATCCTGTGACCAACTCTAAAGATGTAAAGTTGGACCATTTAACAACTTATCTAATCGTCAAGGGGGAAAATGTTTCGGAGAAAATTTTCAGTAACGAGTAGAAGGAAGATGGGGGGGGTTATATATATGTCTATATATATTTGTAATCAAATGTTACTGATCTCACTTTTCAATTACATTTTTCATAGGAAAGGCTATTACAAATATTGTCATTTTATATTTCTATAGTAATATTTTGTCTATCAGTATTAATAAATATATACACTTCAGGAGTATTGCAGTGTTTCCAGATCCCTGGAGAACATCTAGATTACGTCACACTAGACCCTCGACAAATGCTGCTGCGTCAAACTTGATCCAGACAGGGTAAAGGACAGTACTATTTTCTGCTGACGTGCTGGTACATTCCAGGCAAACTCAGCAGACAAGCCAGTACATTTCTGGCGTAGCAGATAAGCCGGTACAATAAGCCCCGTACATTCCAAGCAAACACTCAGCAGACAAGCCGGTACATTCAAAGCAAACATAGCAGACAAGCCGGTACATTCCAGACAAACATAGCAGACAAGCCGGAATATTCCTGACAAACTGAGCAGACAAGCAGGTTCATTTCTGGAAAATTCAGCAGAAAAGTCGGTGCTTCCTGGAAAATTCAGCAGAAAAACCGGTGCTTTCTGAAAAATTCAGCAGAAAAACCAGTGCTTCCTGCAAAATTCAGCAGAAAAGCCGGTGCTTCCTCGAAAATTCAGCAGAAAAGCCGGTGCTTCCAGGAAAATTCAGCAGAATAGCTGCTGCTTCCCGGAAAGTTCAGAAAAGAAGCCAGTACATTTCTGATAAATTCAACAAACAAGCCAGTAAATTACTGTCAAACTCAGCTGATAAGCTGGTAATTTCCTGGTTAATTCAGCTAACAAAGGCCGTACATTCCAGAAAAACTCATCAGACAAAGCGGTACGGTACACTCCTGGCACATCCTTTAGGCGAGCCTGTACAGTGAGCTAAAAGTGAAAAGGTGAAGAAGTGGAAAAATGTATTGATTTCAGTGAGCTCTGCAGAAAAAAAGAAAACTGAAAAATTAAAAATGGATTTAACTCCGTTCTCTAGAACCTGGTTTACTCTAAGTTTTCTAGTTCTATCTCTTCATAGATCCACTGCAGGTAATTACACAGATATTATGTTAAAGTATAGGAAATAGAGCCAAGGATATTGAATTACAGGATAGGAACTACAACCAAGGATACAAAAAGTTTAAACTTTTTTAAATGAACAATTTTTCAACCGGACCGAGCATGAACTTTTCCTTGAGGTATAACAAACAAAATTTGAGCCCAATTCAGTTTTATCGGATCCAAATATAAATCGCAAATATACATGAATGTACTCTGTAGAAAATCCCAATACAAATGTGAACACCTTCAATTACGCGTTCTGTGCGTACTGCAGTGTAATCTGCAGTACACTAACCCAAAATATGATATGGTTTAGCGGAAAGGTGGAATTAAAGATAGCATTGAGATACATAATTTTTATATAATAACGTCTGCTACATTTTATAAAATACTATTCTGATTTGATTTTCAGAAACTATGAACAGCCCTAAAACATATTTTAGAAAGTATGAACAGCCCTAAAACATATTTTAGAAAGCGAAATTTGTTTCTTTCTACGATTAACTACACCTTTTTTTAGTAAAGGTATCACTAATCTTAACCAATAAATCATTTACAAAGTCGTCAGTCAATTCCCATGTTTATTGGTAAACCTTGTATTCATGAACATAGATGTACCTTTTGATAATGCTCTAAATTACACGTATACACGATGATTGTAATGAATAAATACTAATAATGTATAATTAAATGAATTAGGCCTCTGAACAAGAAGTCGATAAGTACACGACAAATACTCATTAGTGGCGTGGCGTAATTAAATCATTAATTATTAATTATTAGAACTCATTCTTGCAGAACAATTAATACGAGACTATAAGCTCATTAAGGAAAGCTCTTTTGTTGTTTAACAGACCAGATTTCAAGAAATTTTAAATTCAATAAAAAAAGATAAATTCTAAAAAATATTTTTAAAAACGAGCAAAACAAAACAAAATAAATATAAATCTTTTCTTGTCTGTTTGTTTGCATATCCGGTAAACGTCAAAACGGCCAATTTTGTATGGCAATTCACATTCACATGACCCCAAGGAATATTAATGGGCACAGAGCAGTCAATTTTGCCCGGAAAATCGACAATAATTTTTTTGAAAACGCGCCAAATAAGAAAGATAAATCTGTCACAACTTGAGACAGATTAAAAATGGTCATTTTTAGAGCAACAATTAAAAATTAAATTGTTAATAGGAAAGTTAAAATTAAATTTGCCTGATCCAAATTTGAAGAACTGAAACCAACTATTCCTCTCTGTCTGATTTATGATTTTGTTGCATAAAATGTCAATAAGTCGGAAACTGTCTGGTCCCCCCAGTTTACCATTTTACGTTAACAACATCTAATCACAAGGAATATTTATCCAATTTTCAGATATTTAGAAATCAGGGGTGGGGGCTGTATGATATTATTCATAAGAAAACCTTAACATGTTTTGTAGTATCTCACGCACCTCTGCCTCTGTAGTAAAAGTAAATTCAACCTATATGAACCATAAAGTCTGACCGCGTCAACCTTGTTGCACCGTCTAGTCCTGTCCATAAAGCTAGGTACAGTACAAACTGGGACCGGAAAGGTTGACCCGACTCGGAAATTCAAATTTACTACGGCTGCCCCCGTGATCTAGCTAAGCAAAAACGTTCCAAATATTCTGTTCATGGTTTTGAACAATGTTTCTTTTTCTATTGTAAAACAATAAAACAATTCTTTTAAGCGTAATAAAATCTAACGTTTCTTGATTCAATTGTTTGTTTTTTTGAAAATATACCGGGGTTAATGAATTTATTTTTTGAGTGGATTCGTAAATTTGAAAAAACGTTTCAAGAATTTCAATAAAAATGTTAAAGTTTTTTATATTATTTTATATATTTTATAATAACTTTAGGTAGCTTTAATACCATAATATTACCCATTTTATTTTCAAAAGGATTACATTTGAAAAGGTAACAAAAAATTAATACAAATTCTTGTTAATAATATTGATAAGTTGTTAATTATATTTTTGGATAGCATTTGAAAACCAAGAGCTGTCCCTTAAATTATAAAAGGTAAACACATTATGAATGGCTAAATGTAGCATTTATCATATAAAATGTCGTATTATTAATTTTCAACAATAACCTTCATGATCAAGTATGAATTAGATATCAATGTTTTTGTTTTTGAAAGCTGACTAGTTTCATTTGCAGTTTCTCTACTATAGTGACTTGACTATTTTTTGCTTAAAAACAATGGAGACATTGCCATTTTTTCAACTATACAACTATATACAAATGTGGCGAAAGATAATCGATGACCATAGGTTGTAATATCTGAATGATTTGTTTGAAATTAAATAGATTTTTTTACGGTCTAAGTCGTATGTTGCATCTTTCTGAATTTGTATGGACACTACGTTATTAGGTATTAGTCGTTTTTAACAATTTTCTCCTTATAGACGCAACAGATAAAAGTAAGGTTAGTAGCGATAAAAGCGCTTTTTAATCGCATTAAGCCTATACCAACTTTCATTTTTCGCGAACACTCCCTTTAAGAGTACCGTTGTAAATCGGGAAAATCTCTTTTTAAATGAAGAATTACTTTAAATGTTTTTTTTAATTTAAGCATTAAATCATATTTTTTCCAGGTGAGGATTCATCAACCAGTTTAACAGTAGAATCATCTACTTCATCTGATGGTTTCGCCGAGGAGAGCACTGTCTCCGAGGTACCCTTGAGCTCCGTGTCTCCCGGGTACCCTGAGCTACGAAACCTCTCCGCCCCCCTGGGCTCCTCGATCCATCTCCCCTGTCCTGTTAAACTTCATCAAGGATTTATTCGAGCTACAGCATATCCCAGGGTAGGTTCATTTTATACTTGTATCCGAGCTACAGCATATCCCAGGGTAGGTTCATTTTATACTTGTATCCAAGCTACAGCATATCCCAGGGTAGGTTCATTTCATACTTGTATCCGAGCTACAGCATATCCCAGGGTAGGTTCATTTTATACTTGTATCCGAGCTACAGCATATCCCAGGGTAGGTTCATTTTATACTACTAAATTACCAAATTGCAGTTTGTTTTTAGGTTTTGATAACAGCACTGAAACCGGACTGCTTAATCGCCCCGATCATACAGTGAAACCCTTAATAACGAATATATCGGAAGAATTTATCAAACGTCGTCTTGACAATTTTTCAATGAGTTTTATACTATATTAAGTAAATTTCAGTAATTGCGAAAATAAATAGATAGCCATGAATATGCGGGAACAGTTTTAAAGAGTTCCATATAATCATTTAATTAAAAAACTAAATATCTGCAACATTCCATTATCAGAAAGTGAAGAATACGACATTTGATGAATTCTTTCGATGTATTCGTTATTAAGGGTTTCACTGTAGATTAATTAAAATAACAGATAGAACAGAAGATTTTCAAGATTTTCAAGATTTAGGGTTTTTTGTTCACAATAACCTTAATGTAGAGCCCAAAGGAGTTGCGCGCAGTCGGCGTAGAACAGACTCTCTCTCTGTCTTGTAATTATTTGTATTATCTCTTTATCTATGGCACCGATAAAATTACCAGAAACATCAAGATATTTCACTAGATTTATCAAATAAAACCAAAATTGTCTAATTCTGAACGAAATCATATCTCCGGTAATTGTGAAAGCATTAAACGCCCGACCACAATTTGGAAATGGTGTTACATAATGTTTTTAAAGATTTCTAAAATTAGGTTGACAAATTAATGCCGCAAACTATTTCAAAGGTTGAAGACGACTTTTAAGTCTTCTCTCCAGTTAGAAATTCCGCTTCTAAAAGAAAATCTCTGTAAGGGTGTGTATACTGTCAATTAACAATACACGTAAAATATTAATATAGATTTGGATATTCATATATATATCAAATATTAAATATGAATAAGTATGCAAATATTAGCAAATATTAGCAAATTTTATAAATACAAGAGTTACACAACATGCGAATAAAATTGCAAACACAACTGATTTCGTGCCAAAATTAATCATAAACTTCATTACACAAAATACCACATTTATTTACTATCATTAACTTCTTTAAAAAGTGTGGGTTTTCAGAAATTAGAGGCGTAACTTTTAAAGGGAGTGGGGAGCTAATGGGGAGATATAAGGATTTCGAATCATTCTAAAAAATTAGGAAATTCTTACCTTTTCCTTTAACCTGTAGAGGAGCTAGGTATAGCAATAAGTATCATTATGAGATTTACGTGTTATGCAACACACTGGCTGAAGCACCTGGCGTTGTTCGTGATATTAACAAAATCTAATTTTGGAAGAAAAATTTCTTATTTTGAAAAATCAAATATCAAAGAAGAAAACCTTTTTTCAAACCTATGTTACCCCTAGGGTAACCATGGGTTTCCTAAAAAAAATTCAGCCAATTCAACTAACATATATATACATATATATATATCCATAGACACAGTGTTTCGTCCTATTAGGACTCATCAGTATGGCTCTATTCATCAGATTTGATTATATATATATATATATATGAGCTAAGAGTTTTATTATATATAGATGTAGCCTGGCCTGAAACTGGAATTTACAAAATGTCGTCTTAACAATTTTTCAATGGTTTTTATACTTTAAACCTAAATCTCAATAATTGTAAATATAAATAAATAGGCATGAATATGCGGGAACAGTTTTAAAGAGCTCCATATAATCTTTCAATTAAAAATTAAGTATCTGCATCATTCCATTATCAGTAAGTTAACAGTAAGATCTTTTATAAATTCTATCGATGTCTCCAAAGCACTGGGTTAAACTGTATCAAACAAAACATATTAAAAGAGAACACATCTAACTTCTAAACATATCAAATTAAAACCACATAAAAACTAAACAAACTAAACATATAAAACTAAAAAACAAATCAAAACAGAACATATAAAAATTACTCTTAAACATTTATTTTTTATAATAAAATAAAATATGTTTCGTAGGGATATGTCGTTTGTTATGCTATGTTCCGATATGTGTTGTTTTGTTGTGCTGTTTACGGATAACATACATACTTTACATTAAAAAGTATCTAAATCGATAGTTTAACAATAATGTATAAGACTTCAGAGACGACAGTACATTAAGTTTTGGTTAATTTTTGGTTTCCTTTAAACCTTATTCTTTCTTTTCAAATTATTTGAATAAAACATTGAATACAAAATTAAATCTTTTATTCAAAGAGGTTCAGGTCGTCATCAAAGTTGCATCCTTTGTGGATACCCTTGTACACAGAAAATATAAAATTTCATTATGTATCCCTGTTTACAATATAGTACATACTACATATATTATTTGATTATTAAATAATTGACTAAATAATTACTTAATCAATTAACAAATATTGCATGCAATTCTAAGAATTGGATTCTGACTGTAATTATTCAAGGGAATTTTTACTTTACAGAACCCAGTTCACAGGGTGCCCTGTAGATAAACCACAGGGTGTCCTAGAAAAAAAACTAAAGGTGTCTGGGATAACCACCAACTCCATAACAAGTTCTCGAAATGTATCTATCCATGCACAACTCGTCCGCTATCAAAGTCAACCAGGACACAACCGACCTGGGTCTAAATGTCACACAGGGACACAAGCTTAGCTATCAACGAGCAATAACTCAGGCTCTAAATCCCACACAGGGACATAAGCGTAGCTATCCAACAAGCTATTAATCCAGTGCTCTAAATGCAACACAGAGACACAAGCCTAGCTAACAACCAGCTATATATTGATCCCAAATGATGGGGACGATCTGCTCTGAATGCCACACAGGGACACAAGCCTAGGTATCAATAAGCTATATATCGATCCCAAATGATGGGGACGATCCACGATAAATGCAACACAGAGACACAAGTCTAGCTATCAAAGAAGCTATATATATATGTCGATCCCAAATGATGGGGACGATCCGCTCTAAATGCCACACCAGGACACAAGGCTAGCTATCAACAAGCTATATATCGATCCCAAATGATGGGGACGATACAACCTGTTTAGCAAAACAGGATTTCAGGATTACTCTCTCCCAATAAACAGTACAGTGTTAATCTATAAACATTACAATGTTAATCTATAAACTGAGGTGAATTTGGTCATTAACAGCGTAATTACAAGTTATGATGCGCTGTTATATATAACGTAGTTAAAAAATCACAATAAGGGTATGATTGAGTTATATATAACGTAGATAAATAATCACAATATGGGTATGATTGAGTTATATATAACGTAGTTAAATAATCACAATATGGGTATGATTGAGTATAAATATACGTACATGGAATGGGTTAATCGCAATACAGGATTTGCGTAATTACTACTGGCTCATTTACTATATGAACAATGGGCTTCAATATTTGCTACAAACATTTCAAAATCCAGAGCATTTACTTCCAATTTATGGTTTTCTAATATGAAAATACGCATTTTTTAAACAAAAACTTTGCCGAGCGGGATGTTATTTTACTAAATTGTCCCAAGGGAAAATTAAGTAATTTATAATATACTATTGTTAGGGGATTGATATGTTGGTAATGTTGATAAAAAGGTGGTAAAATGCAGGCCGGGTTCCTAGCCTAGATAATCTATAATTTATGTACTTGTTCTAAAAGATGTTTTGTTAGATTACTACATAGTCCGTATTTTATCAACTGAGGGGGTGTTGATAACTAGTGCGTATTGTACCAACCATGTACCAACAGAGGGCGTGGGGGAGGGGGTAGACAACCAGTGTGTCATATATCAACGGTGGGGGGAGAAGGGGGGAGGTTTATTTACTTCCGGTAATTTCCCTGAAGATTGCAAGAACATGAAACAAAGGGAAGACACTCGAATAACAGTATAACTATGCACAAATACGATTTATAATGTAAAGTGTGTTAATACTATGCACGATTGAAGGAAAAAAAATTAATTATTATGTTTGCAACCTAAACGAAAAAATCTAACGAACCGATGTTTTTACGCTTTTTACGTCCCATCTTCTTAGATAATTCTATTCTCATTGGGTTAACTTGTCTCTTCGTTATGTAATTTTCAGATGTTATGTAAAAAAGGTCAAACATCATTTATTATGATATTTATCTATTACTTATTAATGAGCTTTTTTATATAGAAGAAATTATTATCTTTGTTAGTATTGTAGTAGACCCCCTTTCATTGGAAACCCCATGTCCCCCAAGCTTTTCATTGAAGACCCAAAATTTGTCATCTGAGATCCAAGCTTTTATTGAAGACCCCAAGCTTTTTATTTAAGACCCCAAGCTTTTTATTGAAGACCCCAAGCTTTTTATTGAAGACCCCAAGCTTTTTATTGAAGACCCCAAGCTTTTCATCGAAGACCCCACACTTTTTATCATAAACGTCCAATTTTCATCCCAAGCTCCAACTAGGTCTCAAATACAAAGCAGGGGGTCTCCGATCGGAAGCTTATGGTCTCCAATGAAAATCTGAAGTCTCGAATGAAAAGCCTGGGGTTTCTCATGAAAAGTATGGGTTCTCCAATGAGATTGGTTTGGTGTTTAAGATGAAAGGAGGTCTCCGATAGTACTCCAATGATGATGATTTTTCCTCAGACTCCTGGAAAAACTCAACTTGTAAATATTTGACCATGAAAGATACCAGTAACTCACATTTTGTATTTACAAACAAGTGATATTACCTGTATAGCTTTAAGGGTTTCACTGTATGTCCATATTTTTCTCTTTAAGTCACCAAAATGTTTCAAATTACGTCGTCATATATCTTTCCTAATATGTTCATGTAAGTTACCCACAAAAAATGCACAGTGCCGTTCACTTTTATAG